TATTTCCGGACCGGAAGTGACGTCATCAAAACGGAAAAAAATGAATCAAGTTCAAGTAATGTTACATACGTCCTGAAAGTTTCATTAAAATCCATCGAGCCGTTTTCGAGAAATCGCGTGCACAAAATCGGTAAGAAAAAAAAGAATAATAATAGGTAAGAAAAAAAGTGGAAAAGAAACCGAAGAATAACAAGAAGGTCTTCCGCTGAAGACGGAAGACCTTAATAAGAAACAGAGTAAAAACAATATGTTCCCCAACTTCGTTTGGGGAACATAATTACAGTGTATTCCGCACACAAAGCGATACCGTGTTAGCAGAATTTTGGACGAGAATTCAATTAATTTGGGATTATTAGCGAAGGTGCTGAGATCGCTAAAATTAAACATCGCTAAAAATTAACTGCGTTTACTCTCTTCCCCACCTTGCTTTTGCTGAGCAGCATAACAAACATCATTTTTAACCATCTCCCTCACTTCATTAAAACAATCAATCCAATTTATGTGAGCGTTTTAAAATTGCTTAAATTACTTCTCGCTAAAAATAAAAACCAATCTTTAGGACAAGTCGCTATATTTTCTTCTCGCTAAAATTTCTACTTATAAGGTATTTTACTCTTTAAAAATTGTGTTTGAACCTTGATTCGCTATCAATCGTGCATTTTATAAACACACAATCGTCTCTAATGTAGTCCATTTCTTTCAAAACATCCAGTTCTACAAACTTCTGCGCACCAAAGCTGGCGTTCCTTTCTCCGATTGGTCGGCCGAGAAAAGCCTTGTTGTCCTTGATGGTGTTCGGTTTGATGGTATACGTCACGTTACGACGAGCCGCGGGATCTTGGCATTGATCCACGAGAGTAAAGTAAATACGGTGACAGAATGGCCATGTAAGCAGTGCGTCGTACTCGCCTCTACAGATACAGATGAAGATGGAAAGGAACCGCCCTCTTGCTAGTAAAATGACAAAAGGATAAAGTATTAATGACACAGAAAATGCCGATCAGAATTTTAAAATCTTCATTTTTACAAGTTTCATAGTATATAACATATGCGCAATATAGGTTGCAGCATTCGTAAACATAGGCGTCGAAACCGGGGGGGGGGGGGGGGGGGGCTTATGCCCCCCCCACTTTTTTTCCAAATATATACTTAGTATAGACATTGAACATTGCTTCGTAGGTTTAGCCCCCCACCTCCACTTTCCAAAGACACGTCGCAATATAGGTTAAAAATGGAGACGGTGGTAGTGTTTGGAAAAAAATTTTAGTACTGAAGTTCGAACCCCCCCCCGAAATAGGATTTTCGTGTTTAGGAAATGGATTTCCCCCCCCCCTTTTTTTTTTGCTTGTCAGATTTTTGGAAGGTATAATTTTTTTTTACACTTAGCCCCTCCACTTTCAATATGCTACCGATGCCAATGGTGAAACATTATATGTATACAACCTCTTCCGTCACCGTACGGACAAATTGACATCGCCATTTTGTAGCCGTGCCTGGCAGTCAGAAATGGAGGACTAAAAATAGTAGTCTTTCTTCCTAGTTTCGCTTCTTCCATTTTGTTCCCCCATTTCTCTATTTTCCACACCAACTGACAGCCATATAGTTTTTCAAGGGTACTGACTTTCTTTTCCATTGTCTTTAAAAAAGAATTTTTATTTGATTTGACAACTAATCCGTTTATATTTGGTATTATATAGATTACTAGTAAAGGCTAATTTCCCTCATCATAAACTTTATCCAAAAAATTACATTTTTCCAAAACATATTTTCACCATTATCAATATTTTTTTTTATATATTCAAAAGACAATATTTTCGAAAAATAAAAGTTTTTTTTTTTATTTCTACATTATTTTATTTCGAAAGAATTAAAATAGATAAAATACTCGATGGACCAAAGTTTAATGGAGGAAGAAAATCGAAAAAAAAATATCCTTACAATTTTTTATCAGTAAAAAGCAGGGATACTCGAAAAAAAGAGTATGTATTTCCTGTTTTTTTTCTTTTCTTATTTTTAATAGATTTAAATTATAAATATTTTGAATTTAACTACTTTAACAAGAAACGCTGATTTTGAGTAACATATTCATAAAGAAAATTAGAATATCTTAACACAATGGTGGATTTGTAATTACTTATCATCTAATTTATAAATTGAATATTACGTTATTTTAATGCATTTTACTTACAAGTTGAGTATATTCAAACCTGTATTTTATATTTACCTCTATATTTTCTGCATGTTTTGTAAGCTTTTTTTCGTTTTCCTCCAGGGTCTTTGAATGTTTTATAATGATATCACAAGCCATTGCCAAGTGCTGGATCGGATCATCTTTGATGTGCTTGTGTAAATGTTTTCTTTTACTCTGTTAAACATTGTTTTATTCTTTTAAACTTGTGACAGGCACTTGCATGTTCTTCACATTGACTATAATTTGATTAAATTCATAAGATTCTAGCTATTTGTACTTGTAAAAAGCTACCTTTAAACAAGTTTTCAAAAGAGAGCTTATACAAATTTCGAAACATTTTTTGCTTTTAATTTTTTTTCAGTGTAAATTAATGCATAACATCAAATACCCACCATAAAGTCACACCCAGCGTCGTGGAATGGACAAGGTACTTGCTGCTGAGGACATTTGTTCTCCAAATGATCTTGCATCTAGAAATATACAAAACTCTAACTGTTTAAAATAAAAATTCTAAATTAAATTTACTGATGCAAAGTTAAACCCGACAAAAGAAAATCTTACGAGTGAATTTAAATTTTTATTGCTTGTGGTTCTAGCTGTCGTCTTAAAAAACTTTTTGAGGAGAAAAGTATTACCTCCTCTCTGGGAATTTCTCCTTTCTTGCAGTCATTGGGACAGGGTATCAGGAATCTGCCACACACTTGTAGATGTGCTTCTTCTTGGTCAAACGGAATAGGCATGCTGCAGAAATCACAGCTTATCTCTCTCTTCATACACTCGTCCTGTAAATGCTTCCGTAGCTTTGCTTTTTCCAGTTCCATTCCACATCGTTTCGGACAAGTGACTATAACGTACTTACAATCTTCTAAGTGGATCTGTTAAAACAAGATAAAGTTATGGACAAGGTAATTGATGTACAAATCTTGTTCACAGATATGCTTTGCTTTGCTTTTGTTTTATTTATTTATTTTTTTCTTTTGATAGCAAATGCAACATGGAATTGTCAAAGATTTTTTTAAAAAATTCTATCAATCGATTTTTATCCATAGCATTAACATAATGTAAACCTTGTTTTGCTTTTATGTTGATATCTCACCTTAATGTCTTTCATCAGACCATACCAAGTACACCCCTTATCCACATAAGAGCATTTTAACTGAAGCTGTCCGATTTCCTTCTGGAATTCATGGTCGGGAATGACCTAGACAACATGATAATTCTTGGAGTAAAATAATAATATTGACAGAACTTCAAACTGCTGTTTTAGAAACTAAATTTTGATAAATATATTCTTAATCTAAAGATCGATGGATGTTCGGGAATAAAACTTACGTCTCTGTCTCTATCTATTGGCTTTTCATCCAAAGGACATTTTCCCCCGCCTCTGTTGAACAACATTTATATTTTAATTACCAAGTTGTAAACAAAATTACTCCCTCTAATTTTATTGGTGAAATAAGTAAATTTCGAATTGTTATGGTATGTTCTGATCTCTGTACATGTAAAATCCATTCACATGAGAAATACCTCATAATTTCTGGTAGACAAGAAGCACAACATCTGTGTCCACATTTCTCCAAAAGCACTGGGTGACGAAGCACATTCCAACAGATAGGACATTCGTATGCCTTGTCCAATGGTACCAGAAAATTATACTGGGTATCGCTGTGTCCACTGTAAGCAGATTCTGTATAGTTTACCAAAGTTTTACGGTATATTAATTTTTTTTTTTTTTTTTTTTTTTTTTTACAAATTATTTACCAGGCTCAAAATTAGAACATAATTGAACCAAAATTTTATTGCAATGAAATTTAGATTACATTTAAAATAAAATTAAAATAAACTAATTTACTTTGATATTGAAAGTTTCATAAATGTTCAATATCATAAAAAAAACCTAAATTTTTAAGTACCTGTTTGTTAAAACATTTAGACAAAACCAGAATTTTACAATTTAAACGTCTAAGCTCTGTTTTTGCTCTGAGTCATAGGGTATTGTCAGATATTAAACAATATTAAAAGTTTGTTAATTCAGTAAAAAAATTTAATTTATATCAGTCAATAAGATATTTTACTCACTTGATAAGCCCTCCCTCCATCCCCATGGGGGACGCCATACTAAAGGACGTTCCCGCTCGTCCGGTCAAAAAGTAGTCGTCATCCATCTTAATACCAGAATAAAATGTAAGCTTCTCTCTAGATATGAAAACTATAGCCCAAGAAAAATGGTACAGCAAATTTTCTTTTAAATAAAAAAATCGATTATGTTCTCTATTCAATTTACCTTCTAATGATTGCTTTGAGTTTCAATATATTGATCTAATTACTTAAGCAAATAATGACCGTTTAAAGAAAGAAGTCTATTGACAAAAACAATTATCATTATTTCTTATATAATTAAAGCCACTTTCATGACAAGTTTATCGATTACAGTCTATTTTCAAAGGTTGCGTATTAAGCGTGTTGTTTCTGTATTTTAATACTTTATTATCTAATAGTTATCAACTCCATTCTCTGGTTCTAGATGTAACAACCGAAGAGAAACATTTCTATCATGTTTTGTTTAATAATTGTATCTTGTAATGTACATGTATATATTAGATAATTGATTCGTTACTCTCCTGAACACAAATGCTGGGCTCGATTGATCCCATATACTCAATGTGATAAAAGTATAAAACAAATGATTTGTTTCAATGTATTTTTATTATATTAGTTCAATTTCTTCCCACAGCTTAACAATTTTAAAACCTCACATATGTGACACATACATGTACAGGTGTACACACAAAAATTAAGAATTTTAAAATTTCGTATTGTAAATAAATCGCATTTTATTTATTTTCTTTATGGTAAAGGAAGAGAGAAGTTATAAATGACCCCGTCTGTATAGACAATGGTCGTATTATCTTTTAAAGAGTTCATTTCAGTTGACGTCTTCAGGAATTTGTCAGCCCATTCCGGAAACTCGTCCAGTTGAAAGAACGTAATGCCATAGGTATTTATGGCTATAGTCACAACGCCAACACAAAGCAGATTTAATATGAATCCAATTTTGACCTGTAAAGTAGATCGTTTTTAAATAATAATAAATAATATTTTAACTACATTTTAGGTCGTTGAACAATTCAGGATTCGGAAAGCATTGCAATTTATGGTAACTTGTGTATAATTAAAAAGATGCTCAACAATATTGCAAAAGTGAAAATCAAGTCAAGAGAAGTACCCCCAATAATAACCCTACCATATCAATCACTTTTAGATAACCATAGGAAAAGGCAATGGTGTTTGGGGGTGTGGCAACTGGCAACATATAGGCGAAAGATGTTGATATTGTAGCTGGTAACATAATGTATATGGGGTTTAAATGCATTCCTATGGCCTACAACACAAAATTCAAATAATAAACGGAAAGTTTTGAAATCGGGACAAAAATAAAAAAATAAATTATAATCCGCATAAAACATATTTCTTTTCTCCGTTAAATTTTCAAAAAATGGGGGATAAAATATTTTTGTTAATCTTTAAGACATACGAGTTCTGCCAGGATAGGAAGAAGCAGTGTGCAGATGGCGGTGTTACTTGTGACTTCCGTAGCAAACGAGGCTATTAAACAGATGACAAAAATCATTGACCAGGAATCAATGTCTCTAAACGCAGACATCTGACTGGCCAGCCAAACAGATAATCCGGACTCCTGTAAGATAAGAATGAAGATTGTGTTGTTAATATAAATATATATTGCATCCTTTAAAAAGAATTTATATCAAGAAATCAATACTCAAAATAAGAGTAAAAACAGCAGATATTAAAAATATAAAAACCTATTTAATTCCCTAAATTTTCGATATTTCGCCTATAGTTTATCATTCTCAAAATTAATTCTCTCTTTTACAGTAACAAAAGGTTCACGATATTTTTCTCAACAATATTGATTGATTGACATTACAATGTCTATATTTATTTGAGAAAACAAGGCCGTATTATTTTTTCTCTTACTGTGCAGGCTTTTGCTAGAGCAAATCCGCCACCTAACAGAAGTGCAACGTTCCAAGGCATGCGCGCTGAGACAGTTTTCCAGTCTAATAATGGCGGGATTTCCTTGACGTTATCCATTGGATCATCTGCAAGTTACTAAAAATCTTATGTGGTGACTGTTGTAATTGTATATCATTAACTTAGGCCATTCCAAATTTTTTATATGTTTAGCGTCCGCGTGCGCCTTGGTTTTTGACACCCCACATAAGAAAAAAAACACAACATCAGGAGTCCTGAAATTGATTAACTAAGTCGAAATTTTTGAATTTGTCAATTTCTCCAAATAATTCTGTACAGTAAGTTATACTGGGTGAATTTAAAGCATTTAATCCCTTGTGTTTGCTTAAGAATATATATATATATATATATATATATATATATATATATATATATATATATATATATATATATATATATATATGTATATATATATATATATTTCTTCTACTAAAGCAGTTTATTTAGATCAAATCATCTGAAGGGCGTCATTTTAATGACTTTTAAGCCTGTGTTTGTGTTTTGGCTTGTGTGTTTTTTGCGAATAGGTAGGTAGGTTTTTGAAAGATGGGTGGACGCTAAACATAGAAAAAACTTGGAATGGCCTTAATGCTTTAACCGATATTGACGATTAAAAGATTTTAAGAAAAATGGTCTTTTTTAAGAGGAGGTTTACAAAAAGAAAAACATTTTTAGGTCATATTGCTATCTGTTTTTGTCCGTCGTCGTCCGTCGTGCGTTGTGCGTCGTGCGTTAACATTTAAACATTTTCAGCTTCTTCTCTGCAACCACTGAAACAATTTCAACCAATTTTGGCATATAGCATCTATGGGTGAAGGGGAACAAAGATTGTGAATTTCGTGGTCCCTGGCCCCCTGGGGCCTGGGGGGTGGGGCAAAAACCACTAAAATTAGTGCAATCTTTAAAAATCTTCTTCTTTACTCCCAGACATCAAGCAGTCAAACTGTTGGTATGATTGTAATCAGCATTGAGTCCTGTAATCAGCATTGAGTCCTCTACCAAAATTGTGAAATTCATGGCCCCAGGGTCAGGGGTTCTGGTGTTAGGGCGGGGCTCTATTGATTATATAGTGAAAATGCATTAATTCTTTGAAAATCTTCTTCTCTGCTCCTGGGTATTAAATAAACTGATTAAGTTCATAGTTATGATGAGCAAGAGTGCCTCTACCAAAATTGTGAATTTTATGACCCCAGGGTCAGGGGTTATGTTGTTAGGGCGGGGCCCTATTGATTATATAGTGAAAATGCATTAATTCTTTGAAAATCTTCTTCTCTGCTCCTGGGTATTAAATAAACTAATTAAGTTCATAGTTATGATGAGCAAGAGTGCCTCTACCAAAATTGTGAAATTCATGGCCCCAGGGTCAGGGGTTCTGGTGTTAGGGCGGGCTCTATTGATTATATAGTGAAAATGCATTAAATTTTTGAAAATCTTCTTCTCTGTTCCTGAGTATTTGATAAACTAACTAGTAAGTACATGATTATGATGAGCAAGAGTGCCTCTACCAAAATTGTGAAATTCAGGGCCCCAGGGTCAGGGGCTCTGGTGTTAGGGCGGGGCTCAATTGATTATATAGTGAAAATGCATTAAATCTTTGAAAATCTTCTTCTCTGCTTCTGAGTATTAAATAATCTAATTAAGGACATAATTATGATGAGCAAGAATGCTTCTGCCAAAATTGTGAATTTTATGGCCCCAGGGTCAGGGGTTATGGTGTTAGGATGTGGTATATAATGATTATATGGTGAAAATACATTACATCTACGAAAATCTTTTTCTCTACTCCTGGGTATTAAGCAGAATGAACTATTAACACAGTTATGATGCGATGGGCTCTTCTTCCAGAATTGTGAATTTCAAGGCCCCTGGGTTAGAGATACCAAAATGGGGAGGGGGGGGGGGGCTCTACTTATATACTGAAAATGAATTGTTTGAAATCTGCTCCTTGGTATTTATCAAACATTTTTGATAAGCAAGTGTGCCTTTTCAAAAATTGTGCAATGTGTAGACCTAGGGTCAGGGGTTCATGTGTGGTAGGAGCACTCCTGATTATTGCTGAATATTACTGATTAGTTGACATACTTTTTTGTTCCCCTACCCTGCTTATCCATATTAAGTAAACAAACTAAACAATTGCTAAGTGTATAATTATGATTAGCAATGGTGCCTCTTTCAGAATTGTGAATGCCATAGCATCTAGCTTAAAACATGAACCAAATTCAATCATTTAAAAGTTGTTGCATGATGCTCAGGTGACCTATAAGGCCCATGGGCCTCTTGTTTAAAAATATACTTTCCTTAGAAAAATCTAGGAAGTTAATATCCTTACAAAATTGTAAAAACAAAACAAACCTTTGACCATACGTCTGCTCGGAAATGTGAACAAGCTGACCATAACTATAATGGCTGGCACGGAATCTCCGAGGTAACTACAAAACATTCAACGCTTACGTATCTACTTCTAACTTTAAGATGGGAATAATTCCCATATATGTAGTAAGAGGACTACATTTACGCCTTTCAAATGCCCAGAATGAAAATTTTAAACATATTGTTTCCTGAAGTTTCGTTATTTTGCAACCAGAATACAAAGCTAAGAATGAATGTATATGTACATGTACTTATGTAATTTATAAAAAAAAAAAAAAAAAAAAAAAAAGAAAAGAAAAAAAAAAAAAAAAAAAAAAAATCAGAAAGGTATGACATGCAAATTTGGAGATCTTTTGTTTCTTTCCAATTTGTATTTACACCTGGATTTGGATCTCCCAAACCTTAAAGGTACAGCATGATACGATCACATATATATAGTGATCAAAATTACGATTAAATTAAAAAAAGACTACCTACACAATACAAACCACTGGAAAGCTTACCCATCTTTGAAAAAAGAACCCCATCCCGGAGCGAATTCTGGATTACGAGAAAACCATAAAATTATCAGTACAACAAAATGGACGAGTACTGCTTTCTCTGCGAATCTGTAGACAAAAAAAAAAGAAAAATCTTGAGAGGTTAATATTTACTCCTTTGAGGTATAGTAGGACTTTGGTTAGTGTTGAAATGGATCTGTTTGATTTTTAAATGTAAATGGCCATAAAATATTTTATGACACATCCTCCTAGAGAAAACAATTGAGGACAGTAACAAGCCAGACAAAGTAAGGGCTTCAAAAGTGTGTACACATCTGTTATGATACTAGTATTTATGCAAGTAATTTTTTCTGTATTCAATCTTCATTACAAGGCTGATATCTTACGTTATTTGTCCTAGCTTCTGGCATTCCTTTCTAATAGCTTCCTGAACAGTATTCGAATCGTCTTTCTGGCCTGTACATAAAAGTGATCTGAAAGAAACCAATCATATTTTCCTCCACAAAAAAGTAAAGGTCATAGTGCATATAAACAATTTATCTATACAAAGGCTACTTGCGCCAAGGAAGTAAAATTTCTCACGTCACTCCAAAGAAGGCTATCTGAAGCACTAGCCACGCTATGATACAGTTGACTACAGCTATAGGAAACCCAAAAATAAACCAGGAAGTGAAAGTTATCACAGATTCTCCACCTGCCATCCTAAAAAACATAAGACATTCTTACGTTGAAAATATAATTTTATTATGAAGATTTCAATGTATGTTGTATCTGTTACAATAGTATAAAATGACTACTTGGATCACAAGAAAATCTCAGTGCCGAATACGAGTTTTTCAATTTTGGATGTATCTGTTCTCGATTCTCTTTCAATTTTTGTAGGACAAAGTCATTTTTACGTGGGAAAGGAGGATTTAATTGAATGGTATACCTGATAAATTTTTAAACTAAATTTACAATAATTTAGTTAAAAGCATTTTATTAAGGAAGTTTCTTCAGAAATATTTTAGCATTCGATATTCATTCTTGGGGTTAAAATACCATCAGAAAATCCTTACATGTCAGCCTGCCCCTTCATAACCAGATTTGGACCGGTTCCTGTTAGAGTTCCGATTCCTCCACAGTTTGCTGCATAACAGATACACAGACAAAACACTTTGCAAAATTTCTTAGACGCGGGATCCAGAGTGTCAAAATTGAAATTTTCATAGTCTTCTTCATTCTCCAGTTTTCTTTTAACTTCTACAACCTCTAGTTTGTCACTTTAAAAGAGAAAAAATATTCTGAAATTAAAAATGGAGATAACAAATCAAGCTCAAATGTCAATTAAATCAATACAGATTAGGAACAGAGCAAACACGATGCTTCCAAAAATTTATTCCTTGTAATAAAATTCAAGAAACAATATTTTACCACATAATTAAGGAAAATTTAAAATATAAGAAAATAATTATTTTAAAAACTTTAAAAATTGGAGATGATTTAAATTTCCAAAAATGAATAAATAATTTGGAGTACAAGTTAGATTAGTTCCTAAGAAGGATAACAACAATTACAAATGTGAAAGTTTATGTTAGTTATACAATTGGAAATAAAAATCTATAAATGTGGTGCTAAGTTGACATTAAACTAGCGCTAAAATTGACGAAGTTAAGACTGCATGTAAAATTTGATTAAAAAAATACTTTTAGTTAATGAAAAAAGCGCATCTAACATACTTGGATTTCTTGGATATTTGGAGATTGTTGATTTCAGTTCCATTTTGAATTTCCTCTCTCTCTTTCTCATTATTATAAGGCATGTCTACTGTAACTTCAAATTCTATAAGCAAATGTAGTTTTCCATTTCACTTAAACCCAGGTTTTAAAAATATTTACATTTGACTAAAATTTTGATATGTAGTTATTTCTTGAAATTTGATTTCTGTTTTGCAAAGTAGATTTTTTTAAGATTTAGAATTAATTAAAAATACATAGAAGTAACTTATTATATCAATTTTTTAAAATAAATTCTTGGACATTTCAATACAAAACCTCACAAAAAAAAAGGTAGCTATATTACAATAGACAAACCTTGATTCATCAATGACGTATTTCTTTTTTTGGTTTTGATAAGTTGTACAAGGACTGCTTGTGCTATAGGGATCATCATGGACGTTGTTGCGGTGTTGCTCATCCACATTGACAGGAAACACGTGATTAACATAAACCCTAACATCAACCTGCATTTTATTTGTTATGTATAATTATATAATATAATGATAAAAGTGGAGTAAAAAGACTGAATGATGCATTGACGAAACAGTTGTCTAATGGTATTTAGAACGAAATCGGTTGGTCATTCAGTGGCGAATGAAGAGAGGTTGGGGACAAGTTGTTTCCCCTTTGTTATTACTTGTAGCATTCTCTTCAAACTTCCTTAAAACTACTGCTCTTTCAGAGGTCCTAATTTCTTTGCTTAATCTTTGATTTTACTTTAAATTTAAAAGAGAAAGATTGTTGCCTTAATTTATTTATCAATTCCAATTACGAAAGTATATAAGTATATCTTTAAATCTTATGACAATAAGAATAATTCCCTTTAAAGTGCAGAATATTTTTGTAGTGTATAATTTATGCAGAAAATCGTGGACGTCAGATCTGAGTTTTATGTTCCATACCATTTGGGTTGTGATCCCATGAGAAGGAGCAGTTTGAGTGCTATCCGCCTATGTACGTTCCACTTTTCAACTGCAATGGCAACACTTAGGCCTCCGATTAAGACAAAGGTGATATGCTTAAAAGTAAAATATACATTGCATACATGTATTTCAATAGCAGTATAAATTTCTGGTATTAACGAATATGTAACTTTGTGTAAATTTTGGTTAAAAAAAGAAGAGAGTAGGAAAAATTATTTTTTCAAGTGTTAAATGGCTGATCATGTCCCGCTGATAAATTGTCAAGAATGCGGTTATGTATTCATAAAAAGTAAAAATATATCATTAGGGCTTCCTTACATTGTAGTATAAACTGGTCATAGTTTTGACCTTGCTGACCCCCAGCAAAGGAAACACGAATACGGGTAACATGGCGGTCACGGCCAGCGGTAGGGCCTCCGAGATCCAAAATACCGCCATCAACAGGAGGCCATAGGCACAGTTCCCTTGCTTAAACGAACATACTTCAAAATTTTAGGAATCGTTTCGCTAGTTAAATTCATTATAAAAAATTGGTTTGTTTCAAGGAAAGTTCATACATTTGTGGTGAATTCGACTTAAATGTTTGCTTTTTCTGGTCAGCTATTTTTCTTTCAATTAAAGATGCTACTTTTTATCGTCAACTTTGCTTAATCAGATAAGAAAAAAAAGAGACTCCGTGCTTAAATAATTGTTAAGTCTTCAAACTGCTACAGGACATCTAACAAAACGCATATTACTTGCAATTGCCGTCATTGAACATGAATAAAATGAACATAAATCAAAAGCTTCAACAACCCTTATTTATTATTAATATTAATTTGGAGGCTTATGAAACCTTTGAAACATAAAAATATGTAAGCAATATTTAATCATAGTTATGACCTTGAAAACCTACCTTTGACTGCAGTGCAATTGGAATCGGCAGCAAAAGGATAGGAACTGCTACCAACAAAATTTTCTTAATATTTCTCCTTATAAATAATAATTTCGCCATTTTAATTATTTGATTTTCCTTGAGGCAGCTTTCGACCACCTTGGCTGACCCGTTTGAATATCTTTCTTTCCATATATTAATTATTCGTCCTCACATACTGACTTAATGTACATAAACATTTTCATATTATTTAATGTACATGGCCTGTCAACTGGCATTGCCTAATGCGCGTGATGTTGCATGCAATAAATGCTTGATGGTTGCAGTCAAATGTTACAAAGATAGGATAGTTGTAAAAGCGAAGACTAAGTAACATCTTATACACTTCTAGTCTTTTTACAGAAAAAAACACTCTGAAAGCTCAAGCACAATGGGATTTTGCAAACCTGTCGTCAGAAAGAACACAACTTTTTTTGTAAAGAAGTTTTATTATCTAAAAGATAAAAATGTCTAACATATATACATATATCAGAGTATTATGCACCAGGAATACGATTTTCATTTTAATATAAAATGTCCTTAAATGACTATCACAGATATGTTTTATTGTCTAATATAGTTAAAATGTAAGGCAAAGGGAAATAACCGATACATTATTATTGCAGCCCGGAGGACCGGGCTGCTCTATACATATAAGTTTAAGTGTTGGTATATGGGGATTGGGGTGGGAGTAGTTATTCAAAATTAAAGGTTTTCTAAACATTGAAAAGATTGTTAATCAGAATGTTCTTTCCCTTTATAAATTACGAGATACATAATATATTTACTTCCATAAAGTGATTCTCTAAAAATAGATATGTTTTTCACATTTAATATATAAAGTTGTTTATCATTTACTATCGAAAAAACGACAGGTCCCCTTTTTTAGATCATCGAATTTTACTTCTCGCATAAAAACGTACTATGCACCCTTCGTGTTTTATATTCTAAAATTGAAAATTAAATACATTTTTGAATATAGGTGATGCATGTGTCTACCTTCAATTTATATTTTATGCAGCCAACATTTACTCGAGGAATTGAAGTTTAAAATGGTATCGTTTTTGTTTGACATTTATCCGACTATAAGTTTTCCAAATATTCGCGACTATCGTCTCCATCAATTAGACGCATGCCTTTTTACACGTATCGAAGCGGTTTGATGATCAAAGGTCATTTCCATTGTTTACTTTATATATTTCCCGGGCGACAATTGATGGTTACATCAATGTTTTCTTGTATTTACATGTATGTCACTATGCTATTGTAAATGAAAATTATATACATAAATATTTCATAAAATAAATAAATATCAATCAGATGTTAGAAACATAAAAATTCTCAACAAAAGGAAAAAATGCCACATTTCTCCTCTAAAATTCTGCCAAGTTATGTACAAATTATAAAAAATCACTGCGGATATTTCCTAGCTTTTTTGTCTATGGGACGTGGAGAAAATATCAATTGACTTCAACAACTGTATACTTTATGGTCCAAATTGTCTATCAACATCTCTACTACCGACATAAGTAAAATGAATGTATAATAATAAAATGTATCGTACATGTAATAAAATAAAATGTGTGAGCAAAATTGCACCGATGTTGCACATATGATTTTTATATATATCAAATAAACAAACTTCTAATAGACCATGCAGTTAGTACAAAGTATCTTGTACTCGATCAGTACCAGGGTAGCTTGTCGATGTCCACATTTCCACCACACAGTATAACGCCTATATTCTTCATGTTGGCATCCATCGCTGCCAATCTTTCTGACATCACAGCGGCTACTCCAGTACCGGCAGCCGGTTCTATCACCAACTGTTAAAAGCAGGGTAACAAAATTCAAGTATTGCAGAATTTAATTTTTAAAAATGATACAAAGAAACTTCGTTTCGGTAAATCTCATTGTTAAAAATATCATCTTATCCGGAATGTTGTCTAAATAGGCCTATTGCTCTGGAAGCAGTGATGTTCATATTTGACGTTTTACTGTAAATCCATTCCAAGTAATCATCTAAAATACATGTATTATAAAATATATAGATAACAAAGCGCACAAGAACCCTTATCTCCTTCTTTTTCAAGTCAAACTCGTATTGGGATTTTCCATATTTATACCATTAAGACCAATTTTGATATGTTTTAATCTAGAGGATGAAGAAATTATTATAAAGAGAGCCACCTGTTTATATTTACCTTCATTCTCTCGAAAACAAATTTCATTGCCTTTATTATGTCTTCGTCAGTCTAAGATAAAAACAATTGATAAATATTCAAGGTACATATACATACTTAATTAAAAAAAAAACAAAATTGGTGTTTACTCTACAAGCTCAGTATCTTAAGTTAGCATTGTTACACAAATAAAATGCCATTTCGAGGTCTTCAATTTGATCGTCTTTGTCAGAATTTTTAAGAAAATGTCATACATAATTATGTAGTCATTTGTCAGAATTTTTAAGAAAATGTCATACATATGTAGTCATTATACATTGATTGATTGATTGTTTACTGTTTAACGTCCCTCTCCAGAATATTTCACTGATATGGAGACGTCACCATTGCCGGTGAAGGGCTGCAAATTTAAGCCTATGCTCGGCACTTACGGCCTTTAAGCAGGGAGGGATCTTTATCGTGCCACACCTGCTGTGACACGGGGCCTCGGTTTAGACGGTCTCATCCGAAGGACCGCCCCATTTAGTCGCCTTTTACGACAAGCAAGATTGTACTGAGGACCTATTCTAACCTGGATCCCCACGGGGCCATTATACTTTGAAAGTTGGTCTTTATATAAAGACCAACTTTCCATTATACATTGAAAGTTGGTCTTTATTATCAAAGAAACATATTTTCTTTATGAAAAAATTACTTTAGAAATTTTGTGAAAATAATCAAGCCATACCACTGAGAATACTTCCTTTTCTGCGAGATCTAGAATAATGGGCCATGTTAACTTCCCTAGTTGTTGCAATTTTAATCCGTCTGCTATTGTATTTAGAAATTGAGGAGGGTTGGGCCAGAGTCGTTTTCCTAGAAATTAAGTACTAAATGTTGTTAAATTAATTCTGATGTCTGATAAACAAAAGCTACATTTATATAATACAACGCAAGCAACACAATATATATAAAAAAGTAATACTCTAGAGGCATACATGTTCATGTTTGTCTTCATACGTTTTTGGACTAATTCAGTCTGAATAAAATTAAACCTCCCAATAGTTCCTTCATTTGGATGAAAATGATCCTTTTGAAAAAAATTAAAAAAAACTATGTACATTTATGTAATCGTGTAGTTACCAACAATTAAAGTAAAAAAAATATATAATATCAAAATCACGTTCAATTAAATGCAAGGAAAGAACCATAAACAATGACCGTTATTTAGTACCTGTTTGGAGGCATATTTCGCACATTTTCCCCTCGGGTTCAACTAAAAACACTGTAGAAAAAAGAAAGTGTGTACATGAGCTTTACTATAAACATTCATAAAGGACATCAAGACTTCCTACTGATAAATATAAGATATAAGTGGTTCATTCACAAAGTGTTAAGATAGTTATTAACATGTGTATCTCATATTCTAAGCTAGAACAATATATAGCGCGCGTGTTGATGAGTAAATTGTTATGTACATGTATCAGCTAATTTTTTGCAAATGAAGTTCTGGGTAATAGGTTACTATTTTAAGCTAACCTTTAATATCTGGTTTAATGGCTTTAGCTGCTATGGCAATCCCTGAGGCCATTCCTCCACCACTAACAGGAACCAAAATGGCATCCAATTCTGGCACCTGCTTCAAGAACTCTACAGCTATTGTACCCTTCAAAATAAATCAATTTCCTTCAATATAAAAAATTCTGCTCGAAGATTTTAGGATACATGTGATAATACTTAGTCCTATTTAGTTTTCTTTTCAAAATGCCAAAAGAGTGTTTTAAATTATAGTACTAACTTTTAAGTTAAATAATTATGTAAAGTACTCATCGAACACGTGTTACTCACCATTGGACAAATTTCATGATTTACACGTGTATCCGGACAAGAACTAATTTATATGTATTATTAATTATCATATATAGAATTATAACATTACTCGTCAGAAAAAAAATCTTTCCTGTAAATAATTAATTATCAAATGAAAACATATCAAAGAAATTAGGTAATCGTTTTAAACATCACCGTTTGTAAGAAATGTTTCTGAACTTAGTCAAATATTTGTCACATATTTCTTACAGTTCGTACAGTAAGAAATGATAGATTTAGATTGAGGAAAATCTAGGAAGGCAAAACAACTCTACTTAAAGAAACAGATAATTGAAAAGTCGACATAAATCTAGATTATTTTTTAATTCCAAGCATGCCATACCGGTATATCTTCAGAATAACCTCTCCATTTCAGGAGCTAAATAAATTCATATGAAAGGTGTGCATGTAATGTGTACGCTTTAAACTAAGAAGTATTTGTCATTGCTATATATTGGTGTCGTACATTTAATTGTAACAGAAGGGTTGTGATACATGTACGTACCTGTCCTGCAATGATATCATAGTGATCAGATGAAGGAATATATGGGTAGTTCTTTTCGCTGGAAATTTGGTTACATGTTTCTGTTCTGTTTGATAAAACATCAAATATATAGTATTTAAGCAGAGCATTGAATCAACAAAGAATTCTGAAATTTGTCTTTGTTTCCTCCTCATATTTTTCTGCCTACTTTATCCAACCCTTTTCTATACGAGTAGAATTTGACGCGTTTTATTTCTAGGTGAGTCTATACCAACAAAACAAATTCTAGAAATTCCTAACTAAATTTCTGATTTTGATCGAGGATATTGCCTATTGGAAGGGGGGGGGGGGGGGTGTTAATTTGTGTATCCACCATGGAATTCTGAATTACTATATTTAAATGGAAAAGCAAGTAAATTTGATTTAGACGAGCTACAGATATTTGTAGGTATGTCGAAATTGTATAAAATGGTTGATTTTTTATCAGCAAACTTTAAGTCGAACACATTTTTTAAAGAGTAAATATCTTTATCATTGTTTTAATTTTTTTTCAAGAAGACGTATAATTATAAACAAGAAGCCCATGGGCCTCATCGCTCACCTGAGCACTTTTGTTAGGAAATAAGCAGAAACCAATTCATTATTAAAAAAGATTTTGCGCGTAAATGATCTCGACTTATATTGGCAGTTTGATTTAAAAAACTTGAATTTACACCAACTAAGGGATGTTTAGTACATAATTCTTAGACTACTGAGTAACCGTGACTTTTTTTCTTAAAGTTTGAACTTTCATAATCATCGTGGTCCTTCCCTACTCTCAAGGGTCATGATTTGAATAAATCTGAATCTTCACCACCTGAGGATGTTTCCTTATAAATATGACCAATTATGGCTTTGCTATTCTGCAGAAAAAAAAATTGTTTTCTATATATTTCTATGTAAAACTTTGATAGTCCATTGAAACCTTACTCTAGCCCTGGGTCATGAATTGCATATGCTTGAATCTTCACTACCTTAAGATGATTCCTTATCATATGACTTTGTTGTTCTTAAGAGGAAGATATTTAAAGATTTCCCTATATATTCCTGTGTAAAATTTTGATTGTCATTTTCGACCAAACCCACCTGATTTGTAGAAGCCTGAATCTACACTACATGATGACGACTCACTGCAGTGTCATTTTTACTGGACCGGTGGTTTTTGAGAATAAGATTAACACATTCCATTATTTCTCCACTTATTTATAACTATCTTTCCTTGGAAGAAGGCGTGGTCCTTTAGTTCTTTATTTGAATAAACTTGAATCTATTCTGATTATAAAAATTCATCTCTCTACGACTCTAGATCCTGTTTCGATACAATAAACAAATGTTAAATATATTTACACTGAAAAAAAAAATCAATAAATGTTTAAATTTTTAATTGAAAGATGTTTCTTACCTTGCCGAAGGGGAAGACTGACAAAACACAAGATCAGCCCCATAGCTTTTAATGGCTCGACACTTTGTTTTCGGGGTATCTTGTGTAACAACTACAGTGCAGTCCACTTGGGCGATTTTGGAGGCCCACGCCAAAGCTTCCCCATGGTTTCCACTGCTGTGAGTGACCTTCAAATTAAATTTGTTATATCCATGTAAATAATTTCTATTCTCTGAACGATGTTATTTTATGGATGGCTGTGCTAATGATCTCAAATTTCAAGATCTTAACCAGACGGTGTGAAATAATCGTATTTTAATTAGTATGGCTAAATATCATTCAATTTGAGTGTTAAATATTTAAAAGAAAACAAAACTTACAACGCCCTTAACACACGGGTTGTTGGTCTTTAGTGACTGCACCTGAAATACATGTATCATTGAATTCAAGTCTCCATCAGGAAGTAGTAATAAAACAAATAGATAGAGAATAAAGGATCCTTACAACCTTCAAGTATACATTTCTATAAACAATTACCGCATTTAGTGCTCCTCTGGCTTTGAATGAACCTGTTTTCTGCAAATTCTCAGCTTTGAAAAACACTTTTCTTCCAACAAGATTGTCTAGAGTTGAGCTGGTGAAGACGGGGGTCGTATGAACATACGGGGAAATAGTTTCATAAGCTTTCTTGATATCCTGAATGGTAACCTCATTTGCCATCCTACTGTTTGCTTGTCCGTTGACCTAAAAAAAATAAATAGTAAACTTATTGATATTTTAATTATTAATCATAGTAATATACATTGTATTAAGACTTAATTATTGTCGAAAAACTTTGTCCTCTTAAGAGCAATACCAATGTACAAGAAACATACCTAACACGCAACTGTCTGGCTTTAAGATTCGTCTATATAGCGATTTGAATATTTGCAACAAAATTAAATTTGTATTAAAGCACCAAACTGAATGGATGAAAAAAAGTTTTCGTAATCAAAGCAGCGTGATACTCATAATTTTAAAAATAACGACCGTGTTGATTTAAGGCTGACTGCACTTAACGACAAACGAACAATATACGAGGGCTGTTAATAAATAAATGTCTTCAGTGCTCAGAAAGAAACAAAAACACTTTTCAATGATTTGGTCTTAATGATTTCACTTAAATATTCTCTTTTAATTAAAACACATGTCCGTGACATTTTTATCCAATTTCTGATTTTTATGCGCCCGGATCGATAGATCCGAGGCGTATATTGTTTTATCTTGTCTTTTTGTCTGTTTGTCTGTTTATCTGTTTGTCTGTCTGCTGAAAACTTTAACCTTCGCCTTAACTTTTGAACCTTGAGATATAGAGACTTCATGCTTGTATGCATACTTCACTAACGAAGTTCTTTCAAAAGACACCAAGGTCAATGACCTTGTGACCTTGACTGTGACCTACATGCTAAAAATAGCTTTTTCAAACTTTTGCTTTAACTTTTGAAGCATAGGAGATGAAGACTTCATATTTGGTGTGCATACTTCACTAATAAAGCTTATACAAATGAAACCAAAGTCATTGACCTTGTGATGTTGACTGTGACCTTAATGCTAAAAATAGCTATTTTCGAACTTTTGCCATAAATTTTGAACCATAGGAGATATAGACTTCATATTTGGTATGCATACTCCACTACTAAAGTTCTTTCAAATAACACTGATATCAATGACCTTGTGACCTTGACTGTGACCTATATGCTAAAAATAGTTTTTTGTGACTTTGCTGCCGCCGGGCGCAAAGTGTTTCACAAACACATCTTGTTTTTTAGAACAAATTTTTGAGTATGGCCCATCGTATATTGGAATATGGCAAATCCTATGATTTCCTGTACTTATTTCTTCTTTCTGAAATGTATTTTCTTCAGGTTTGGAAAGTGAAACAAGTCATATAGGGTGAAAGATCTGGCGAACATTGTTCAGGGCGTGTGGGTTTGGACGCTGTCATGAAGAAATTTATTATGTAGTGGATTTCTGATTATGCTTCCTTCCTCTCAAAAAGTTTTCAATTTTTTGCAAACGTTTTGCTTTCTAGATTCCTCCAAAAACTGAACTGCTTCCCCAAAAAAGAATTTGAACAACAAAACCACTAATATTTAAGAAAATGGCATATAACACTGTCTCCATGTTCTTGCAATTCTTTGCTCTTCTCAGACCTTTGCTATTTCTGTCAAGTGCATCTTATTTTATTTATTTATTTGTTTTGAGCTTAAAAGCAATGAATTCAAGATATATTATCCGTTTTAATTTCAGACAAACGTGGAAAAATACAATATCTGATTTTATAAAATTGTTAAGGTATTCTTACACGCTGTCGTTTTCACCCATTTTTCAAAACATAGGGTGCCCTTTAAGTAGTGAGCTTTTTCACTGTCAAATGTTTCTTTAAAACTGTGTGAACTACCCCCAAAATGATGCCTATCGAATTTGCTATATGTCTTAGAGTCAATCAAACATCATCGGTGATAGTTTGTTGAATATTGGCAAAAGTACTTTGGTTGATGCAAGTCCTTGTCGCCAAGGACGGTACCCATTTTTGATGTCCATTATATCATTTCTGTTCACTGAAATCCACTTGCTCATGTGTCTAGAAAACAAATATTGGTTGCTGTACATTATTTCAGTGAATATTTCTTTAGGGTTCTTAACAAGTTTTACAACTGACAGCTTTAATGGAGCGCTTAATTTCACTCTAGTATACTGATTCTTTACCATTTTCATTTTTAATGCAGTGTCTCGAAAAGCCCTTGTTTTCCAGTACTCACAGTGAAACCATGTAATAGAAAATGGTCAAATAAACTGTTATCAATTCATCAAAGTTCAATCATAAGAGAAAGTCAAGCTTAATGACACCTGATTCCTACATGTATAGTGCATGTCATACAGGTCAGTACATTATTTATAGAACAGCCCTCGTATACCTTTAAAATGAGCATTACTTTCTTAAATAGGGAAAAGATGAATATCTAAACTGTCATTTAAGCATTTGCAAACAAGATGTGTTTGTGGAACACTGATGCCCCGGTATGGCAACATAGCAAAGATTAAACTTTTCTTAAATGCAAATTTAATTAATTGGTACCAAAAGTAGGGTATTCTCACTGGAAAAAAAGGTGTGAAATTCGAAAGTAGGCCAATGTTAATGTTTTTTCAATAAGTACAAATATCTCCAAGGTTTAGGTCAAAAGGACAAGGTAATTGGTATCCAATGAAAGGTCTTTCCACATAGAATACTTATGTAGAGTATGGAAGCCCCATTCCTAACCGTTCAGAAGTTATGGCCAAGGTTAATTTCTTTTAAAAGTACGTCAAACTCCAAGGTCAAGGTCAAAGGGTCAAAGTTCTTGTTATCAAATAAAAGGTCTTGTCACAAGGATTAAATATGTAAAGTATAAAAGACTAGCCCTAACCCTTTAAAAGTTATGATCAACATTTGTTTTTTTAAAGTAGGTCAAACTCAAAGGTCAAGGTCAAAGGGTCAAAATGCTTGGTATCCAATGAAGGCTAATGTTAAAGTTTTTTCCACAGGTACGGAAATCTACAAGGTCAAGGTCAAAGGGTTTAGGTTGTTGGTATCCAATGAAAGTTCTCTCAACAAAAGTCATGGCTCCACTAAACAAAAGTTATGGGCAAGGTTAAAGTTTTTGTGGACAAACAGACAGACAGACGGACACGACAAAAACTATATACCCCCGAAACTTCGTTTACGGGGCATAAAAATTGAAAGTGTGGGTATCACCACAATTACCTGAATCTCCAACCTACCATCAGGTAGCATTCTAACTGACATGTATCATACTGATTATAAGGTTCTTGTTTTTAAACTTAATTTTACTGCTAATTATTTTTTCCATGTGATCCAGATACAGGCGGCTCATGGCGGTTGTGGTTTGTCGACCGGGGGATGGTCGGTCCTTCTAGACAGCTGGATTCCCGACTTTGGAATTTCCAGTGATCCATAATTTTGTTTTACCTAAAACTTTTAAATAGGGTCCAAATTGTTTCTAGGTTTTTTTAGTTTGATTAATCTTTGTTCACTTTATCAATTCCATTATAATAAGACAGTTTTGAATTTGTGATGTAGAATTTAATATAATACATGTATAATTAATTTTGTTATTTTTTTTTGGGGGGGGGGGGTTTTATCGATATCAAATTGATGAATGCATTATTTAAAATTATTTTTTTTTTATTTTGCTCAATGATATATACAGTCAAGTATATATCTATGAAATATGGATATAACGAATAGTAATCAAGCTCAAACGTACATGTATAAGAGCAACGCCACCATGGACCACTGATATTTTAAGTGGGATCAGGTGCCATGGAGGAATAAGCATTCCCTGTTGACCGGTATCGTGTGTCTTTTTCATGATCGGACAAGCAGAATATCCGTAGAAAATTCAGTTTCCTAATAATGGCTTTAGAATTTGCAAGAAAAATGTCAGTTAAAATTTGACTTTATGGTAGATTTTATTTGCTGACAATATCATTATTTATTTCGACCATAGAACTTGCAAATACGAAAATATTTTCCTTAAGTTAATGCATGAGTCTTTTCCGACTCCATGATCGTAAGTTCGAATCATGCCACGACTAGCGTTAGTCGAAAAAAATTTGTTAGCAACTTTTCCTTTGCAAAGCACTTAACACATTGAAGTGAACTCTAAAAACCGAAGCCCCGTGTCACGGAAGACGTTGGCACGTTAAAGCCTTAGGTATTAAACTTGAAGCGTCTAACTGGTATATGGTGACAACTCTATATAATTTTTTTTTAATCTCGAACGGGAAGTAAAACAACATTGTTATCAATCACCCCCCCCGCCCCGCCTAAAAAGTTCAGAATGCAAAAAGAATGCAGACTACATCAATAAGAATTTCATATGTACCCATGAGGCGATTAAAATCATTGAAGTTAAAGGCTTACCCTCTACGAACCGAATGGCGAGAATGGCCTAAGAACTATTTTTAGCGCCAGAAAAAGAAATTAAATTAATTCCGTCAAACATTTTCATTAGATTTATTCAGCATTGATGGTAAAATTTTATAGTTAAAAAATTCTCACCTTTCTATACCAACCCAATATTTTTCTACCTTGACTTTTTTTTTGTTCTTTAACGTCCCTCGAGAATTGTTCACTCATATGGAGACGCCTCCACAAGTCGGGGAAAACCTGCAAATTTCGTCCTATACCGCGGCACTCAGGGTCATTAAGCAGTGAGGGATCTTTTTTATGCCAAAACCTACTGCGACACGGGGCCTCGGTTTATCAGGTCTAGACGGCCTCTGTTTTTGGAGGATTGATTTTATCCTCTAAAAACAGAGGATAGAGGTGTTGCCACCTACCGAACTTTTCAAAACAAAGGGCAGAATAAACTAAACAAATAACAGCAACTCTTGCATTTTTCAGTTGATGAACCGTACGCTGATTTTTAAACCAAAACAAATAAAATGGATAATTTTCATACAATGATAGTTAAATCTAGGTATATATTTAATCAATATAACAAATTTTGGTAATTTGCTGTCAATTAATTATTCAGTTTAAAGTAGGGATGTCAAAATTCAATAATTGATATTAGAATATTCGACAAGAGAAGACAGGATATATTCGAATATTCGATAAAATGAATACATTTTGCATTTTAAAATATATTTTTTCATTCGCCTGTCAACCAGTATACGTTTTTGACATTATTATG